TAGACAACCCGAGACTCGACAGTGAGTGACTTGATAGTTGTGAACAGTGGCTCATATGACGTAAGCAGGTCAAGAGTGGCAATTTTGCGCGCTTTGCTTTGCTTTCATTCCCTCCTTCGTTTGGGCACATCTGATAATCTCACATCTTGCAATTAACCGCACTTTTTACACTTCACATTCCTTGTATAACTGGTAAAGTTCACTATTATCTTCATCCCGGACACGGTAGTCCACTTTGTTAACCTTAACTGCAGCTGCTGTGATTGCTTTTGACAGACTTGTGCTATTTGATGATACTGCCCTAATCTGTGACAGCTCACAAACGTGCCAAACGGCACTGGACAGATTAGTACTGGCTGTCCGTTACTTCGGGCTTTGCTTCGCACCCCCGAAGTGCAAAGCGTTCCTCCAAGATTGACCTGGACCGCTTCCTACGCTGTTGGGGATCAGCTAGAAGTCATTCAAAAATTCAATTCCTGGTCAGTTGTATCAGCGTCCTTGGGATTGAAGCTGAGATCACGAACCATATAGCAAAAGCTCTAGGCGCTTTTGCTTGCCTTCGCCACTTATGACGCCGTCGCGACATCACTCTCACCCTGAAGGGTAGAGTGTACAATGCAGCGGTACGTACTGTACGGTTGTGAAACCTTGCTCACATCTGGTGGGAACACCGCCTGACTAACCAGCGCGTTCGACTCCTTGTTTACGGCACAGCAAAAGTAAATGAACCGCTCAGCACCGTCATTTTACTCACCAGGCTCCGATGGCTCGGCCACGTGTTGCGCATGCCAGCCCACCGACTCCCGTGACGTGCGTTGTTTGCGCGCCAGGGGTATGGATGGAAGAAGAGGATGGGTGGCCAAGCGATGACTTGGTCAAGAGGAATGAAGACCTTCACTTCGAAGCTGGCCTCAGTTGGAGCGTTTCGGCTACCTGGTTGGGGTCCGAAAGACGATGAACACGTTTGGCTAGATATACTTGCTGACATGGCAAGGAGCCGACCTCAGTGGCGTTTGTGCTGTGAGTTTCTTTGTCTCTCCCCATCCCTTTTAGCGTCCCCCTCCAGCCACAATCTCATTTCGTAGCGTAATATAATTTTACATAATAATTTTTCTTGTTGCCTAGTAGTCGGCTGGTAGCTTACCGGAACGATGCCCATCCGTTGCTGGTAGCTCAGCTGACATGCAACTGTTGTATTTATTTTCCTTTTTTATGTATTGCTGCACAGTAGCTGACTTGTTTCCCACTTCTAGCTAACGTGTATAATGATGATGATGACTTGTGCTCTTAGGAAACGATTGTGATTTCACTCGCCATGCTTACCTGATTCTTCTGTTGACCTTGACTGTGATGCCCTTGTTCTCATTCCCCCATATATGGTATCTGGTTGCTACTCCATACCTGATAAGTGACTACTTTTGTTCTTCTCCCCCTTTCTATTATCCAGGGTTGTGGACAACATTCCGTGTCTCCCTTAAACTCTCTCTTCACTTTATTGGGAATTGGTCGACACAGATTCCATGTTCGCCTGCAGTGTCTTCCGATATCACCGCGCCAGCACAATTTCATGATTGAGGACAGTGAACAACGTGATTTCGTGGATGGTCAGGAAAAACCCCCACCAGTGTGTTTCTTATATCTTCACCTATATTCTTTTGCATAACAGGCATGTAGGTTTCATAGAAGCTTCGTTTGCAAGCCTCCATGTTACTTTTCTGTGTAATCGATACTCCCACCCTACATTTCATATGTAGCGAGTTAGCAGATCTGAAATAGCCCACGTTGTTCCTTACACCGAAGCAAGGGGAATCTGCTAACTTAGATTGAATTCATCGCAAATTATCGAATGACCAAGAAAATGTGAAAGGTATAGAATTGATTCGTGAATAGGCATTGACGTGCTTAGATGGATGCAACTATTGGAATAGATTCAAGATCGCCACCGACTTCGCAACTTTGCCATATTGAGGCGGATCTTGCGTTTCTTCCTCAAGGTAATACAAGTCAAATTGTCAATTCACTGAAAACTTCTATTTTACTCTTTCCTCGTCCCATCGAATGTGGGTATTTCCAATAAACTAACGCAGCTTCAGAGGGCTTACGACGGGCAGCTAATTTGATGGCATGCGGATGAAATAATCTGATGTACAGATGTCGTACAAGTACGGCAGACGGTCGACTGGTTATTATGTTGCCTAAGCGGCTAACGGACTTTGTATTACCCTGTTTGTTGCACTGATTGAGAGCAATAGCCACAATTCTGGTTGGATCGGATGTCCTTCACAAACATTGCACCTTTCTATACGCTTCTCGTTTTTACTTATTGTAAATACCACATATTACCATGTGTAGGACCATCCGTATACAGTCCGACATTATGACTTTGCAACGTCAAATTTATCAAAAATCCTTAGTCCGTATAATATCCAACCCCCCAAAAATCAGCAAAAAGAGCGACGAAATTGTTTACCATAATTTCGACTTCTCCACTAACTGCGCTCACCCGCGTGTGCTCAAGCGAAAGCCACTTTACAACTGGTCAGTTTTGGCGACCTAATGTGTTATGATCCCAGTTTTTGGGGCTTAGAGCCTTCAAAACAAACATTTTAGTCGCACTGGACAGTGTATTCATTAGATCTCGTCACACGAAACTGGTAAGACAGCCCACAATGTGGGGTAACGTGAAAGGGTATGTCCGACACCGCCTCACATAGTCGGGGGCCTCATGCATCTGATTCGCAGTGGAGCAGCGGGTGAGAAGGAAGTTCACGATCAGCAGTGTCGAACGACCTTGTACTTTTAATACAGCAGACTGACAAGCATAGCATAATGGACAGGCACTGTCCACACGACCCAGCTTAGGGGGAATGTGCCCACATTTCGTGCCATCTTTCAAAGCCGTGGCAACGTGAAATGTCTGGACAGAAGCGATGTGCATATCCTGCTGGCTTTAAATTTAGTTGTCGCGTTTGCCTAGCATTATAAGGCTTGCATGGCTGCACGCCATTTCACGGTGAATGAAAAGCAAGTGAGAGAATGGCGAATGGAAGTCAGAATTGTCACCAGTGCCTGTAAACAAGAGAGCAGCACGCAGTTGAACAACCATGTTTCCTGCACTGGAGGAAATGTTAGCGCAGTGGATTATGGAGTCACGGTACAGTGGGTTAATTGTTACTGGAATAAACATTCGGATCAGGTCGCTCACAATGTTAAAAAGTCCGGAATTCCAGCCATCAAAACTGGTGAATTTTGTTGCTTCTTCTGCATGGTGCAATCGTTTTATGAACCAATTCGACGTGTGTCAACGGACCCGCACAAACCTAGGCTAGATACTGCCGAGGGGTTTGGACAGAAAAGTTAATATCTTCAAAGTTTCATGATTCAGCTGAAAATGCAATAGGATTTTGAACTGTCGCAAATTGGAACTATGTACAAGACGCCCGTGTGCTATGATATGCCATAAAATCGCACAGTGGAGCAATTTTTATAACTACGATGAAGCATGAGAAGACACGGTTCACAGTTGTTTTAGGATGTACGGCGGATGGTTCCCCTCTATCACCTTTCATTATTTTTAATTGTAAGACGCTGCCTAAAGGAACGAACTTTCCGAGTGGTGTGTTTGTGCGAGCTCACGCTTAAGGATGGATGGACGAAAGTGGTATTATAAACTGTCTGAATACAGTTTGGGAAAGCGAAGCGGTACCTTTTTAAAGAAACCGTCTACGCTGGTTTGAGATTTCTTTAGGGCACATCGAACTAACAACGTGGAGAAATAATGTCGTGGACTGAAGTCGTCCGTGGCTTTAATTCCTGGTGGACTTACATTAATCTTGCAGCTACTGGTTGTTGGTCTCAATAAGCCCTTTAAAGATAAGCTTCGAACCAGGTGGATTGAATGGATTGCATCGTCTGATTCAGCGTTGACGAAGGGTGGTAATGTGGAAAACCTTGACATTGTTACATTTGCAGTGGGTGAAGGAAGCGTGGCTGGACATTTCATCAGAAAGTGCTGCATCAGTATTGCTATGGATGGAAGTGAGGATGATTCTATTTTTGAGAAACACGACAATGACGAGAGCAGGGAAGTTGAAGATGGCAATATTAACCCTGACGTCCCATTGACAGACGACCATTACCAGAAACTGTTTGATTCCGACTCGGATTGTTTCGTAGGGTTCGAGTAATTTTAATACCATTGTGCAGCGTTTGAATATGTGAGCCTATAAAATCTACCGGTACGTGCTGTTCTGTCATGTTTTTTCCAATGTTATTGTGCATGATGGTGTTCGATTCTGTATGATCAGTATGTTTCTGTTACTGTCATCCGTCGTGAAAGTCAAATGTGCAATATATCGAGAATTTTCTACACAAACACAATGTGTCTACCTATAGGCACTTTAAATCCCCGCCTAGGATACTGTCTGTCACTAGCAAGTTGTGCCGAGGCAAGATAGGAGCATAGATGTGCAGTGAATTTCTGGGTGGATTTTACATGTTTTTTCCAAATTACCTTTGCATAAAGCCGACTCTTTCACTATAGACATGGAAAATGATCCAAAAGTCCTCGGCTTATGCACGGCAATATGCGGTACTTCGGACGACTGTATTATCCACGATACCAAGCTTGCCTTTTGCTCTAAGCTTAACACACTTCAATGCATTACTAGTAGCATAGGTATGCTATGTCTTGGCTTAGGCATGCATGCTGAAATGCCTCATCTTATCTCTTCGCAAGTACCGTGGCATTCTACTTCTTTCCGACCTATCGGACATGGGTAGGCGTTTGCTTCAACTGTACGCAAAAGTCGACTGTTCCAGAGATGTATCAGTTTCATCATCATCCTCATCCGTAGGTCAGCCATTTGAACCGATGCTTCACTGTCGTATAACCACACTGACCTATGAAACGAAGAATACTAAGAGGGATAGAAGGGAGACCTGGCGTAAAATCTTAACGCCCTAAGCAAATATTCAAGGCCACGGCGCCTAAACATTGTCAACATACTATCACAAATATCTATCATACAAGGATAAAGTGAAATCAGCGAAACAGCTTCCTTGCGACTTCCACTGTCCCGTTTCACAGATATATTAGCACCAAACACACTTCAAATAAAACGGTTTTCTTGAAACATTGAGTCCCCTTCAACCACTTCATTAAGGCAGTAAGAAGACATAGGTTGCGATATGTTAACATTTCGATTGCTCTCGTCAGTCGCAACGCAATGCAGGCAAGACAAAACACACTTAGTAACAAAGATAAGCAGATAAAAATGATAAGAATGACGTAATCAGGTCCAAGGCAACCTGATTGATTGTCTCAACTGTTTCTGGGCACAGAGCAAGGGACAATTCAACCTTATCAGTAGCGCCTCGCCAATTGCCAACAACCTCGGGTTCCTGTAGCGCAATAACACCTTGAATGAATCGATTGGGTTCACCTGGTGACGTTCGGATCGAAATAATGAGGTTTTCTTCAACAATTTCTTCAGGACAGAGAGAAGACTGAAGTTGCGATTTGTAGACATTCCGATCATTCTCTTCAGTCGCAAACACGACACTAGCAGAACATGCAAACGATCATAAACATTGAAACATTAGCGATATCCATCAAAATGTCACAGTCAAGACTGAAGCAGCCGCGTCGATAACCTCAAGTTTCTGTGCACATTGTCCGAAAGAAAGCGAGAATTGCCTAGGAAATCCACTATTTTCGCGATTAATCGATTATTAACGATTATCGCACCGATTTCGAACGTTCCGGAATGTTCTAGTTCTACACGTGCCTAAAAACCACCTGACACCTCGGCAAAAGATATATGGACCACTAACCTTGGTAGCTGACCTTCCAATTCTAGAGGTCGTAGGTCAATAAGAGACCTATAAATAAAGCCAAGGTCCGCAGTAACTGTACAGTGTTTGTTGGCGGTGATTAATGCGTTATTTTGTCAAGGTCATTGGCGTTCTACTTTTTCCTTCGGTTGGGCTAGAACTTTTGTCGGGCAGTAATTTGTTATTTTTTAATTGCGTCTACTGAGAAGATTATAACACACAGCACAGGTTAATGGGCCTTAATTAGCAATGCATCACCAATTGTCAATATTATCGGGTTTTTGTTGCGTAACACTGAACACGCTCTCCGGCTTCACAGGATAACGAGTTGCCATGAAGTGCTTAGTGATAGGCTATACTAGGATCCGATTGATCCAAAATCCGCTCCGGTTTGTTGCGTCTTCACTTATCCCAACCACTGGCAAATCTTCAGTTATCCTCTGACCTAACTAGCTGTTAATTCTGCCTCTGTTAATGTCACCGCAACTGCAGGTAAACTGTTTGACAACTTGAGAAGCCGAGCTGCCGGACTATGAAGAACAAGGCTTCGTGTGCCGCATCAACCGCCTTATTGACCGTTGTTTGTACATCCAATCGGAATCAGCGTACTTATCAAGCGCTGCGCTGATAATGAATACACATTTAGCATACTCGTCTTCTCTTAGATGTTGGCCCAACGTGACGACGCTAATGGCTTACCAAACCCGCTTGGCTGAGGCACTCACGGCTACATGTGCTACAGCACAATTCGCTGGACGTCGATGCGCTATCCACCATCGACGCCTGTCG